TGTTTGCCAGAAGCTGGGAATGGGTGACAGGGGATGGACCACTTGATGATTACCTGTTCTGTTCATTCCCTCTGGGGCACTGGCATTGGCCACTGTCGGAAGACAGGATACTGGGCTAGATGGACCTTTGGTCTGACCCAGTATGGCCGTTCTTATGTTCTTATGTTTTTTCTTTGTCATAGTCTTCAGGATTCTTCAGTCATTCTCAGATACATTTAAGTAGAGAAGTTAAGATATTCACGCAACTAAAAAATATTACATCATTAAAATAAATAAATACTATAGCCCAAATCCTTGGCTATAGATAAGAAACACACCACACCACTCAGAAGACGGGAGGGAAGTGTGAACAAAGAAGACTTTATGCTAGTTTTGGGCTACCCAAATCCTAGGCCAGCTCCGGCCAGCTCTGTGCCAGGCTGATCTCTCAGTGTAAGCTGGAGCAAACTCAGGGCTGTTCAAACTCAACCCAGCTGTCAATGACTCAGAGGAGCTAATATAGTAGCTGGGGACCAGCAGTTGGTAGGCAGCTGGTGTAGGAGATACTATACTGATTCTACACCAATGGAAGACTCCAGTTACACTGGAATGATCATCCCTAGCTGTTCATACCATTAGGCCCAGTAGTCACTGGCATTGTTTCCAAACAGGCCTGGAGGATATAGACCTATGCACACAAACAAACTAGGGTTCACCCACTAGCAATATCTGGTTGTTTCACCCTATGACAAATTGCATTTTAAATAAATTATTATAAGATTATCTTATCCAGGGCCGTAGCAACAAAGAACGTGGCCCCCTCCGAACGTGGCCCCCTCCGAACATATGTCCGGGCTGGGCCCCTTACAATGCAGAAACTGGAATGCGGTATTTATTTTGCCACTTTTAGGGGCCCCCTTCCTTGCGGGGCCCCCTCCGGTCGGAGGGTACGGAGGGCACTCGCTACGCCTCTGATCTTATCCCATTAACAATTTCAACAAAGAAAAAGAGTGTATTTCCTTTTTCTTTCCCTTTATCAATTTCTGTTCATACTTCTAGAAAATTTTAAAGTAACTCACGGTAGGTGCAAAAATCAAATAAGAATTTGCATAAATATTTGTATTGAGCGGGGGGGTCATATGATATCAGATTTTATAATATATTCCCTTTCTCATTGCCTTTTATGGTATATGCACTTACTATAGCAGTTGACTGAAATCTAAACTGGTATTAGTCAAGGATAAAGGAATATTTATTTCCAGACTAATCCAAGGATTTACATGAAAGCAGGCAAAATATTAGTACATCAAGTGGACAAAGTGATTACTTGTTTTGTTGCCTATTACCTTCAAAATTACATTTGAAATCCTAATATAGAACAATCCATTGCTTTCTGTGGTTCTTGAAGTTTAAAGATAATCATCCCTGAAGTCAATGAAGTTAGGCCAGGCATGAATTTGACCCAGTGTTCAAGGACTGTGGTAAAACGGAAGAATTAACAGACACAAACTGAATGCACATACAGCTGATTCTTTTTGCATGGTTAGGGGATAATCTATTCATTCTTTTTATAGAAAAATGTTCTTTACAATAAATATATCTGTTTGGAATTCTATTGAAAACTAATAGATGAGGGAAAACAAGTTAAATGATATATTCAATTTTATTTTTCCCCCAGAGAGTGGAAAGGAAAACAAATTGTGCCATCTCAAAGGTCATCAGAACAGGACCAAGTATCAATTTGAATGCAGATTTCCTATTCTGTTTGTGAATTCTAAGTACAGTGTATTTCCTGCTAAAGAAACATGTAGAATCTTAACAACACTAAAAGAACAGGAGTACTTGTGGCACCTTAGAGACTAACAAATTTATTAGAGCATAAGCTTTC